TGCCAAGTTCCATAGAATAGTTCCACTGTTACAAACATGTTTTATGTATAAGTTTGTATATGATCACGTTTGTTTTTGTGTATATGTTTATCTTTTGGATATATCTTTCACATATTAGAGAAAACATGTGGCCTTTGTCTTTCTGAACCTGACTTACTTCACTTAACATGATATCCTCCAGTTGCATCCATTTACCTTCAAATCACATTGTGTCATTCTTCCTTAAGATTGGGTAAAACTCCATTTTCTTGATTAACTCATCAGGTATAGGGGATGTGGGCTGTTCCCATAGCTTGGCTATTGTGAATAGTGCTGCTATAAACACCAGCATGCAAATGTCTCCATTGTATCCTGACTTAACATTCTTTTGGATGTATGCACAGGAATGGTATCACTGGATCATATGGCAGTTGTAGCATTTTGAGGAATCTCCATACTGCTTTCCATAATGGTTGTACTAATTTGCATTCCCACCAACAGTGTATAAGGGATCCTGCTTCACCGTACCCTCACCAGCATTTGTTGTTTTGCACATGAAGATGGCTATTCTAAGTGGGGTGAGATAAAATCTAAGTATACTTTTGATTTGCATCTCTTTTATAGCCAGGGAAGTTGAACACTTCTTCATGTTTTTTTTTTGTTTGTCTTGTTTTTTGTGTGTGTGTGTGTGTGGTACTGGGGTTTGAATTCAGGGCCTAGAACTTGAGTCACTCCACAAGCCCTTATTTATTTGTGTGTGTGTGTGATGAGTTTTTGTTGAGATAAGGTCTCGAGAACTATTTGCACCATCTGGCTTCGAATCACAATCCTACTGATCTCTGCCTCCTGAGTAGCTAGGATTATAGGCATGAGCAGCCAGCACCCAGCTCTTCATGTATTTATTGGCCATTTATTCCTCTTCCTTTGAGAATTCTCTATTTAATTTATGTGCCCATTTCTTCACTGTGATGTTGATTCTTTGGGGGTTAAGTTTTTGAGCTCCCTGTAGATTCTGGATATTAGTTCTTTATCAGATGAATAGCTGACAAAGATTTTCTTCCATTCTGTAGCAGTCTCTTAAGTCTAGTGATGCTTCTTTTGCTGTGCAGAAGTTTTTTAGTTTGATGCAGTCACGTTTGTTCATTCTTTCTCTTAGATGCAGAGCTGCTGGAGTTCTCTTTAGGAAGTAATTCCCTGTACCTATATGTTCCAGTGTATTTCTAACTACTTCTTGTAGTTGTTTCAAAGTTTCAGGCTTTATATTAAGGTCTTTGATCCACTTTGAGTTGATATTAGTACAGGGTAAGAGACAGGTATCTAGCTTCTACATGTGGCTATCCAGTTTTCCTAGAAGCATTTGTGGAAGAGGTTGTCTTTTCTCCATTGTGTGTTTTGAGCTCTTTTGTCAAAGATCAGTTGGCTATAGATGTGTGGATTTATATCTGGGTCTTCTATTCAATCCACTGGTCTCGATGCCTACTTTTATGCCAATACCACGCTGTTTTTATTGTTATGGCTCTGTAATATAATCTAAAGTCAAGAATCGTGATGCCTCCATCATTGGACTTTTTGCTCCGAATTGCTTTGTCTATTTGAGGGTTTTTGTGTTTCCATATGAATTTTAGGATTGAGTTATTTTCTAACTCTGTGAAGAGTGTCTTTGGGATTTTGATAGGGATTGCATTGAACATGTAGATTGCTTTTGGCATCTACATTTCACAAAGCTGGTTCTGCTGATCCATGAGCATGGGAGATCCTTCCATCTTCTGATGTCTTCTTCGATTTCTCTCTTCAGTGATTTATAGTTTTCGTTGAAAAGGTCTTTGGGTTCCTTCATTAAATATATACCTAGGTATTTTTTGAGGCTATGGAAATGAGATTGTTGCCTTGATTTTTTTCTTAGTCTGTTCATTGTTTGCATATAGGAACGCTACTGATTTATGTATATTAATTTTGTATTCTGCTTCTTTGCCAAAATAGTTTATGATTTCTAAGAGTTTTTGGTGGAGTGGAGTTTGTGGGTTCCTTTAGGTATAGGAACATATCATCTGCAAATAGAGATAATTTGACTTCTGGAAGACTTTCTTCTACCCATTCGAGTTAAACTTCTCACATAGAGCATCCTGGGTATTTATAAATCCATGGAGATGCTTGGATGGCATGAGTGAAAGACTTTAGGTAGCATTTATGATTTAGTATAGCTAATTTGTGATTCTTGGAGGCAGCAACTTGTCTCTTGTGACAATAGAAAGGATAGGAAGGTCACTGGGCCCAGATGATAACTCACTCTTTAAGTGAGACTGATTTGTGCAGCTTTTCACTAACTTTGACAACTTCCTTGCTTTCCTTCCAAAGAAAAAAAGTTAAAACAACCACAAAATGAATGAGCTATTAACAAATATACACAAGCTGTTAGTATCAGAGAGTAAGAGATGAAAGGAAACAAGAAAAGTAAGCTTCCAACACCCACAAACCAGATAATACATTCTGATCCAAAATCAGCGTCATTTATTTCCTAAAATTGTTTTCCCTGTTATATATTATTTATTCATAATATAATCTCTTAAAACTTTGATTCTACCTGCAAAATTTTAACATCTCCAAGTTTTTTCTTACGTTATTTTGAGATGTTTTTCTGAAAGCTCTACAAATAAATAAATATAATTTGATTTTCTGAAAACAAACAAAGAGCACAGAAAGAATTTTCTGATTCACACTTATTTTGCTGCAGGTATGCTAACACTTATTTTGAATATGATTGACATAGAGTGTCAAAAAGTAGGTCAGTCTCCCTAATGTTACATAAATTAGTATGTTTAACCATGTGTTATCTAATAAACAAAATGGAAAATAGTTTATTTGACAACCAAAAAAGTGAATAGCACATTCTGCAGTAACTTTAATTTCCCATGCATTCCTACAACTTTGCAGTTATTTATAGATCTTTTCCCAGAATAATTTGTAATCTAAATGGCTTAAGTTTAAAGCTATAGGAAATGACTTACAGCATCTTTCACTATGAGGTCTTTTCTTTCCCCATCCATTGGGGTAAAAACAGAATATGTGTGCAAAATTGCTCATAATATTTGAGGGAGAAGCTATGATCTTCACTGATTAAGCCTCACAAAAATAACTTTTATATGACACTTAATAATACAAATTATGCTTTTGCATATATTAGCATAGTCATTCTCAGAATTGATGTCAGTTTTTAGTGAAGATCAACAAAGAACCTCTCATTCCAGTAAATAAATAAATGAATGAATAAATAAATAAAACCCAAATCCATCATGATTTGTGTAGGAAGAGCTCAGATAGAAAAATCTTGGTCCATCCTTTCCTCTTAAGAGGCATGTCTTTCTGTTGTTCTTTCATTAAACTCTAGTCTGGCTCTCAGGACAGAAGGTAAAGGTTCTTTCTGCAGTCTATGACTTTGTTCATTTTGGCATAATTAAACCAGAATAACCTTGTCAAAAGACCTCTGCATTTAAACACTAACAACAACAACAACAACAACAACCTGGTGTTTCCATATTTACATAGCACATTTCTAAATCTATAAGCTATGCCAAACGATCAAAGCAAACAATATAATAAATTACAACAAATGATTTTTTATACAGCCCTCTTCTCTGACAAAAATTGCCTGCTACCTTCTGATGTGTCAGTACAACTCTAATCACTATTGATACTCTCTCCTTTTCAGCCACTTAGCTCTTTGTGATTTTTGATTTGGCCTTTATCTCTCTCTCCAGACCCATGTTCAGAATTTTTTTTCTTGTTCTTTTTTGGTGTCATGAGTGCTCCTGCTACAAGACCAGGAAAAAAGAAAATCATCTAAGATGATCTTCCCTTTCCTCCCATTTCACACTGGCCTAGTTAACTGCTGCTGATCTTTTAGATGTGAAGTCAAATGCCCAATCCCTTGACCTTTCTTCATATGCCATTCCCACAGCCTAAGCCAACTTCCCTTCTGCACAGCTCTCCTAACCCAAAGCTCTTTCCAAATTCTTACTTCACACAGTCTCTAATTAAGCATTTGTCGATGGAATATGCATTAATGATTATTTTCTTTCACTAATCTATTACCATCCATTAAGGGCATAGTCATGTCTGTTTTACTGTTATTGTATCCATAAAACACACTAAGTGTAGGTTAAATTAATGGACAAATGGATGTATAAATAGAACAGGACTGGTTGGGTGCATCCTCCTAGATATATTCTCTAAATATATATAATCCTATTTGTGTTACGGTATCATGATATTGTAGAAAAATGTTGTCCAATAGAAATGTGAATCCTCAATGACATTTTAAACTTTCTAGTAGAATTTTTAAAAAAAACAAGTAGGATTAATTTTGACATTATATTTTTCTTCTTTATTCATATGTGCATACATTGTTGGGGCTATTTCTCCCCCTGCCCCCCACCCCTTCCCTCTCCCCCTCACCCCACTCACTTCCAGGAAGAATCTGTTCTGCCCTTTTCTCCAATTTTGTTGAAGAGAAGACATAAGCAATAAGAAGAAGAACAAAGCATTTTTGCTAGTTGAGATACAGATAGCTATACAGAGAGATTCCTAGCATTGCTTCCATGCACTAGTGTGTTATAACCCAAGTTGATTCATCTCTTCCTGACCTTTCACTAATTCCTGATCCCCTTCCCATATTGACCTCTGTCGCTTTAAGGTTACCATATTAGCATATCTGCAGTGGGGACATCAAACACTTTCAAGTTTTGGGTTTCCTACCTGTCCCCATTCCTCCTGTATGTGCTCTCCCCTTATCATGTGACCTAAGTCCAACAACATTTTTGCATTTGCCCTAGATCTAAAGTCTGCATATGAAGGAGAATATATGGTTTTTGGCCTTCTGAGCCTGGCCATCTCGCTCAGGATGATGTTCTCCAGTTCCATCCATTTACTTGCGAATGATAAGATTTCATTCTTCTTCATGGCTTAGTAAAAGTCCATTGTGTATAAATACCACATTTTCTTTTTTTTTTTTTGAAATAGTTGAGACTTTATTCTAATAGCTATAATTACAGTGCTTGTTGAAATGAAAACTGAAAACAAGTATACAAAACAGTTGATTACTAATCGTGTATTGAAAGCAGTAAGAGGTTCCACGACACCAAATAAACCAGTTCTGAGGTTTCCCCAAGATAAATTTAACAGCTCCAACTTCTTCAGTGTTTATCAAAATACAAAAGAAAAAAGTAGAGGTCGTCGTTTTCGATGGCAAATCGGACCCTTGCAGGCTGAGGGAGGAAGCTATTTCACACATGGAGATGGGGGTGCTCCAGGGCTTTGGGTCTGGAATGGACTGACCCTCCCAGCTTGCACACGCTTCTGCTGGTGAGACCCAGGCCTCCTGCCAGCGCTTAGAGTAAGCGCAAGAGCGAGCTAGGAACACAGGCTGCCGCTTGGCCACACACTCACCAAGGATGAGGCTGTGCCCTGCAGCCCCATGATGGCCCCTACCCGCCCCTAGGTGACCACGTGAGCACGAGTACAAGCACGACGCTATGGAATGCAGGTGACCCAAAGACAGGCGAGTCACAGGGGCTCTACTGTGTCCATGCAGCGAATGGTTTGTTCATCACCGTATCTCCCATTCCCATAAGGGAACAGCTGATTTGATGGACTAGCATTCAGGCGGTTACTGCAAAACCTACACTAGGCATAGTCTCCCTTCTGTGTGTTCAAGTGTTCTGCTTATCTTGTATTTTTAACTATTTTAAAAAATGCACTGAGTTTGGGTTAAAAACCAGCCACCAAATGGATCCTGACACTGATCTATAGCTCAGTGGCTCCTGGAGACCAGGTGCCCAAACACCCAAATCCCTTCTCAGTACTGACAGTGAGTTGATTCTCTTTACAATAAAAAAAGCTGAGTAATATTGCATAGGAGTACCAGAAACTGCCTCAGTGGAAACAGAAACTATTTACATTAAATAAAAACCTGGCTGCAGGCTGCGTCTGCACATGTACAGCATGATGCGATGCACACTGTGACCAACCCATGGAGACAGCTTCTGGCACTCAGGACCACAGAGTCGCACGTTTGCCACATGAGAGGAAAGCGGAGGGCGGAGAGGAGGAAGTGAGGGGGAGGGGGAGTTCTGGTTCACTTCTGGTTCCGGAGCTGATTGGACAGCCAGTCCAGTCCTTCATAGAGCCCGTCCCCACTGGTGGCACAGGTGGCCTGAATGTACCAGTTCCTGTGGCGTAGAGAGTGCAGCCCCAGCTTGTCTGTGATTTCAGCAGCGTTCATGGCATTGGGAAGGTCCTGCTTGTTGGCAAACACCAGGAGGACAGCATCCCGGAGCTCATCCTCAGCCAGCATCCGCATGAGCTCCTCACGGGCCTCATTCACACGCTCTCTGTCATTGCTGTCCACCACGAAGATCAAGCCTTGGGTTAAATACCACATTTTCTGAATCCATTCGTCAGTAGTGGGGCATCTTGGCTGTTTCCATAACTTGACTACTGTGAATAGCGCTGTAATAAACATGGCTGTGCAGGTGCCTCTGGAGTAACCTGTGTCACATTCCTTTGGTTATATCCCCAGGAGTGGGATGGCTGGATCATATGGCAGATCTGTTTAGTTTTTACAGAAGCCTTCATATTGTTTTCCGGAGTGGTTGTACTATATTTTAACCTAAAAAAACCAAAAGAATACAAGCTTTTCAGGTAATCAACACAAACTATTTTAATGAGATATTTTGTATTTTTCTTACTAAATCCTCAAAGCATAGGTATATGTTTCACAGCACACCTCAATTTGAACTAGGCACATTCCAAATTCTTAGTAGTTACATGATCTTACAAAGTCTGGAGAGCCAGTAGCAAACTGCCAGAAGTTTGTGTGCACAAGGAAAAATGCTGGAAGGTAAGGCAGAAGTCATTTTAGTGTATACTTGAAAACATTCTGGCTCAACATCATTGATTTTGGTGAAAGGAGAAGAAATACTATGAAAATAGTTGAATATTTATACTAATTGCATTGTCTGGCCCTGATTTCTCATTTTTTCCTATCAAGCAATCCAAGTGAGACGTTCCTACAGAAAGTAATTTCATTTTTCCCTAAAATCTGAGCAAAATAATGAGAACACATGGTAGTTGTGAGAGTGTCACATGAGATGGACTACAATGAAAGGGACCCTGGTATTTGGGGGATGGAGAAGATATGGCAGGACAGAAGTGACAGCACAGACAAGGAGCAAAAAGAATGGAGGAAGACAGGTGACATGTTCAAGATGGCCCAGAAGGCCACATCCCTGAGTTCATGTAAAACTTCCTGTGGTCATCCTGGAAAGTTCAAGAAGAAATTAAAGTATGAGTAAAATCCTAAATTTTCCTGGTACAGTCTCAATTCAAAAAGTTATTTATAAAGTTTATTTTCAATAATGTAAAGATTTTTAGAAAATCTACCTTTAAAACCAGCCAGACATGGACATCAATGATTTATTTAATAGAAGACATTTCACAAGACACATTGCCTGGATTCTCATCTAAGAAGAGGAATAATTATATCTAATTGAATGGCTGACTAAATAGTGTAAAGGTAATACCTTGTTTCCAGACACGGCGTATGACTCAGTTTGTTGGGGCTCTCCCAGTTTCCTGAGACAAATTAGGATGGTCGATTACTTTATGAACATGTGAGATTTTTTATAGGGATCTTTTAAATGTCCATAATTATTATGTAAGTATTCATGAAAATATTTACTTTAAAATAGCTTTACACACGAAATATATCATTTTTATGCAAGTTTAGGCTGGAGTGGGTAGGCCTGTGAGAATCCAATTCAGACAGGCAGCATGAATTATAGGCATGGTGCTTGGCCATGCCTATGAATATTTTAAATCTTCAAAAACAGAACTTTCAGAATAACTCTTCAGAAATATGAATAGTAGATAAGATGTATGCCACCAGAGACCATTTTTATATTTTCAATTTCCATTCGCATAGCTTGGTTTTTGTTTTAGGGTTTTTGTTTGTTTGTTTTTTAAGCAACCTAGCAAAACTAGCTTCAGTCACAAAAAGTATTGATGATAATAGATGAGAGAGTAAGGTTTGGGACTGAGAAATATATATATATATATTTATATTTATGTAGTGTCTGTCACAAGACCTAGCATGTAGTAGATGCCCAACAAATAATTTATTTTCATTTCTCTTCCTCTTTTTTATTTATAAGATGACTTAGTAGAAAAAGACATTGTGATTTGAGAACCTAAGGTTTAAATTCTAACTCTGCCAATGACAGGTAGACTTTAAACATTCTATGTTGCCATTAGAAGTCTCTACATAATAGTTTATAATGGGACTCACTTCAAATTATAAAGATCCAATGAGACAACTGATAAAAGGCAAAACAATTATACAGAAGAAGGATTTGGTATATATTAGTCCAATCTTTCTCAATTTTCAAAAGCCTGATTAAATAGAAGAAGCTGTGTATTCTTAAATTTTCTCTAGTTATCCTTTAACATTAGTTGAAGTACAATAGCAGCTAGGACCATTAGAACAAATTTAATCAAATGACTCAAATATATATCTTCCTCAATGCAACTATGGCCGACATAACCCTAAAAAGATGTAATATGGTTTACTTGCTGGACAACCATGTAGATTTAGATGTATTGAGTCTGTAACATATTTTCTCAATAATTATAGAGAAGTCACATTTTCACCTCCAATGTCTCTTAAAAATCTTTTTTACACAATACACTCTCATAACTTTCTTTTTGAGAAAAGAATGAAAGGAAGAGAGGGAAGAAAAGCAAATGAAGGAAGAAAAATAGGAACGGGGAAGAGGAGAGAAAGACAAGGAGGAGGAGGAAAGAAGAAAGGAGGAGAAAAGGAGAAGGAGGAAGAGGATGACTCATGCATAATGAGTGTCTTCCATGTAATGTATACTGTGTTAGTTCTTGATATGAAACATTTTGAACTATTATGAGTACATTCAATTCAAATTTATATCAAATCAAGGACCATACATTATTGTGTATCTGTTCTTAGAAGTTAAAAAACAAAGACAGGGATATACCAAAACTCTTACAATACTATCTAATGGTTTAGTTGCAAATCTTCTGGTTCTAACCATTTCAAACTATTTTTTTTATTCTTAGTCCCAAGAGGCAATTATTTTTAACTTTCTTTTAGTAGCAGTCATAAAATAGTTTTTGTTGTCAGTATTCAATACATAAAATTAATGCTAAAACTACTTCCTATGATATCAACAGAACAGATTAAATCTCATGTGTTTTAAATTATAAAATAAGACCCTTGACATCTCAGATCTGCCTACTTCTATCATCAGAAAACAAGATAAAAAATCTCACAGTTCTATTTTGGTAGGAAATGTCTTTTCTCAGGAAAGAATTTTGAAATCCTTTGGCCAGACTCTTTATCTAGAACTGAGTTCCCAGGAAAATTAAGCTCTAGGACTCTAAGATTTTCTATCATATGTAATGAGTTAACTTGTCTTCTATGCATCTGGAAGGAGTCTAGCTATATAACGCCCATGGGAAAATTGAAAATAGTCACTCAACCATTTATTTTTCTGTAGCACTTGTTTCTCTCACGGAATGCCCGATGAGAAGGCTTCTCAACTGAGAAAGGTGTTTTTCTATAATAAAATTATGTTTTCAAAATCATGGCTCCATGATGCATGATAAATGTGACTTAATATGGAAAGCTCATATTAACTGAGGAAGTAGAAAGCTAAAACATTTACTGTATATTTGGAGGACATCTTTTCTATCAAGGGTACTGACCTATAGGAAAAATATATACAAATTAAAGACTGCTTAGGAAGCAGTTTCAGTGGCACTTAGAAAAAATACAAGAATGTATGGTTATATTATTTAGATTGTTTTCCTTTCTCAAAGCAATTCTCAACAATAAGAAGAATAAAGAATAAGTTTAAAAGCAATAGTAAAAAATAACATATAGAAACCAGTTTTGATAAATGGCTGATGAAAGAGAAAAGTGAAGACAGCAAACTACCTACAAACTTCTACATTTCCAAGCCATGTTTACCACTTACTCTTTTGACTACTGTGAAAAATTATTGTCCATTAAAGCACCAGGTATATAGAAGGCAGTGTAAGCCTACTGTGAGTATAAATTCTAGTCACACTTACCCTACCAAGAATCATCTCTTAGAAACCTCATTCTGATAATCTGCTATGCTTGACTCAGCGTAAGACCCAAATAAGTCTAATCAAGTCCCAGTGACACCTAATGTTTGAAAACAATGCATAAGCAGTTTACTGAAAAGAAACAAAATTGAGAAGAGATAATTCTAGTCAATGGTAGTTTAATGAACAAAGACCATTACTTGAGTGCTTGAAAGTATAGTCAAGTGCAATCATAAGCAAAGATAGTTGATAAGGTAAAGACTAAATTAGAGCCAGATTGTTCTTAATTGGATGAAAAGGAGATACGAATACCTGGCCTTGAATACTGGCCTAGATATGTGATAGAATACTATTCTGGGTTGTGTCTGTGAGGGTGTTTTAGATTCTTTTCAAAAACTTTTGTGACTATTGGGAGTTGAACTCAGTACCTTGCACTTGCTAGGCAGGTGCTTCTCCACTTGAGCCACATCTCGGCCCTATGATGGTGATTGGGATGAGATTAATATTTTATTGGCAGACTGAGTAGAAACAATTGCCCTTTCTTATGTGCATGGACCTGATCCAATCTTTTTTAGACATTCCAGAATTTGGACCAGAACTATACATATTTGGATTGCCTAGTTCTCAGCCTTTGGACTCAAAGAAGAAATATGCATCAGCTCTCTTAGGTTTCTGACTGGCTGTTAATCTTAGGGTTTGTTAGACTCCATCATTATGAGCCAAATCCTTATTTTACACACACACACACACACACACACACACACATACACACAACACACACACACACACACACACACACACACACCACACCACACATACCACACTCCGCTTATTGGTTCTGTTTCTCTGGAGTTCCTTGACTAATACATGAATTCTTTTCTTCTAGGGACTTCAAATGTGGACAAATTGGGGTGGTAAGTCAGCTTTAACTGTGCCAGGAAGGATACATTCTAGAGGACAAGAGTTAACAAGATGAAAGAAATGTCAGTGTATACATAACCTGGTTAAAAGAGATCATCCCTATCTGCCTATGCCAGTCGAATTGTTCCTAGAGAAATACTCTTTCTTATTGATATTGCATCTTAACATTTACCTTAACTGATATAATAGAAGTCTACCAAAGAACGAAAGCAAAGAGGACATTATCACATATATTTTAAAAGGCTAATTTGGGTAGCCATATGGAAAGTGACTTAGAAGAATGAAAGCTTAAAACGTGGGAACCAGATAGTAGGTCAATCCTGGACAGTTGTATCTCTTAAATGTTTAGCAATTTTCTCC